GGATTGTGTTGCTCATTCTTTAACACGCTTTCCTCTAGCCAAATTGGATATAGTCAAGCACAGTGTTAAACTGTTTTATATGACAATTTTTTTTCTTGTTTTTTTTTTGTTGTGATTCTGTTACTCAAACTGTAACCAGGGGTGGCGCCAGCGGGGGACAGGGGCAGGGCCCCCTGTCGGGGAGATCCCCACCCCCTGTCGGGGAGATCCTCACCCCAATCGGGGAGAAAAATCACAATTCGCCGGAGAGAAAAAAAAATTATATGTATTTTTTACATATTAGTAGACTCTGAAATCGATTAAATAAGCCTTTGAAACCCTAAATTGTCAAAATTTTTGGGGTCTTCTCCCCCAGGACCACTTTCGGAACCTTTTAATCGAAGCTCGACCACGCCCACTTTGCTTTTGTCTAGGAAATCTGACCCCTCGCCGGGGACCTCCCCCCGTCGGGGACCTTCCCCCGTCGGGGACCTCCCTCCGTCGGGACATCTCTCCCCTTCCCGTCGGGACATCTCCCCTTCCCCTCGGGGACCTCCCCCCCCCGTCGGGGACCTCGGGCCTCCTCCCCCTGTCGGGCAAATCCTGGTGCCACCCCTGACTATAACATACTTGACTCAAGCCAAAATGGATATAGTCAACACTAAACGTTTATACCAATATTGTTTTAATTGTTTATTTACTTACGTATTTACTCACTTATTTACTTACTTATTTTTTTTATTTATTTATTTATGTATTTATTTATTTATTTGTGTTTTTGTTACTTTAAACTGATTCTTTTGATTGAGCTTCCCTAGCTTCTGGAAAAATTCTATGACGTAGCGCCACCACATGGTCTGTTATAATAGACTCATCGGTTCCAGGCATTTTTTACATTTGATTTGTGTAATAAAAAAAATAATAATTTCTAAATAAAAAACGAAAGTAAACATTTTTTTTTACATCAATTTACATTTTTGAATATTTTTAATCTGTGTTTTGATGCAAACATAATCAATAACATATCTGTGATTGGTAAAACATGTATTTAATATAGTAGGGTCAACCATGAGTGACCGACCTGTTTGGTATAACTTAAATACCTCTCTTGAACCACTTTTCGGCAACGCGAAGAGATTATAATCCCCAACCACGTGTTGTAGACGGGTATACGCGATGCTTTATTTTGCGAGGCTCCCTTATAAATAGTAGTTCATAAAGGTGAGACAGCAAGAACTCTGTAATAATAAATTGATTATCATAAAGTTATGAACATGATTTGAAAGCTGGAGTTACACTCTATGCTGTGGAAGTGAAAATTCCTGTGTAAATTGGAATCAAGTTTTAAAAATTCCTTTGTAAAATAACATGTGTTAAAATTTACTTCATTCATGTGTGTTGACAGTTGACCAATGGCTGATAGCACCCGTCCGATAACAGTAATTTTGACCTAGTTCTGCTGTGTTTCTCACGACGGCTTAAGACTGTCCCCGACGATAAATCTGAGTTGGCCTAAGGAGCCTATTTTTACTATTCTTTGCAAAGGAAATACAAATTAAAGAAAATCCCGATTTTTTAGTATACAAATTCCTATTGTCTTTCCTAATTTTTAATATAACGTAAGAATAGCGTTATCTCATTGTTAATGTTAACCAACATACAAAGTTATAATTGGGTTACCTTAGAATATTAAATTAAAAAAAAAAAAAAACGTTTGGATTGTAAAGTTCAATCAGAACTTAAACATAAACATTAATATGACGTTAGAATAGCGTTATTGTACCATTTTACAGTAACCAAAATTTAACGTTGTGTCAACGTCAATATAACAAACATATAGGTTGGTAACTTAAACTGACCGTTCAAACACCAACGTTAATGTGACGTTAGAATAGTGTTATTGCACTGTTTAATAGTAACCACAATTTAACGTTGTGGTAACATTAATTTAACAAACATATTAACGTTCAAACAACCTTAAGTTGGTAACGTTAAACTAACTGATCAAACCCCAACGTTAATGTGACGTTAGAAGATCGTTACTGTACCGTTAACACTAACCAAAATCCACCGTGTTGGTAACGTTAATGCTACAAATATATTAACGTTTAAAAAGGTTAGGTTGGCAACATTAAACAAACATTCAAACGCCAACGTTGATGTAATGTTAGAATGCCATTAATTCTCTGTTTATTAGTAACCAAAAAATAATGTTCAAAGATTAACGCAGAAAATACGTTAGATTGGTAACGCCAAACCAACATTCAAACACCGACGTTAATGAAACATTAGAATAACGTTTATTTCTAACCAAAATATCACGTTATAGGAACGTTATTGTAATGAGCAATATAACGTTGGTGCAACGATAGATTGGTAACGTTAACCCAACGTTCAAATACCAACGTTACTCTATTGTTAGAATAACGTTATTTTACAGTTCAGTAGTAACCAAAATATAACGTTGTGCGAACGTAAGAAGATTGCCGTTGAGAAAACGTTGAAGGGGTAACATTAAACCAACGTCCAAAGCACCAAAGTTAATGTAACGTTAGAATAACGTTTATAGTTTACGAACATATAACGTTGTGGAAAGGTTATTGTAATGAGCAAAACAACGTTGATGCAACGTTAGCTTTACAAAGTTTAATCAACGTATGCGGTAACCGTAAAATCAACGTTAATATAACGTTTGTTTGTTATCCGGGAACAGGCGAGCAATATCAGGTTAGCAATAACAAGTTACCAATATCAGGTTAGCAAATCAACTTCAGTACCAATGAGCTTACGCTTGGTAAACGCTAACTGAATTAAAGTTTACTAGAACAAACATATTGAATAGAGCCACATAGGCCTACGCACGCGATCAATAGAAGTACGTACTTCGGTCGTACGCGTCATTGTCGCTATAACTACGGTACGTCATTACGTAATACGCGCTAACACTTAATACTCTACTAAAATACAACAGTTACGCTATATTATATTCATGTTTTGAAACTGAAGACAACACCCATAAATTATTGTCTAATAAGATTGGATTTTGAATAAATAAATGAAATGATTGAAATATTATTATACATACACAATTCCCGGCTTATAGCCTAATATTTGATATTTTATTAATATATGAAATTTATGGAAATTTGCTTATATTTTGCATTTATTATGTAAGTTTCAGTATATAGTTAAATATTTACAGTGATTGTTACAACTTTAGTATCAATACAAGAAGACTTTACCATTTAAATTTTGCTATTTTTTGCTAGTCTTGTAATGAGGTGTTTCAATTTACAATACATATACTGTACCGCCATAATTGATATTTACGAAAACGTATATAATTATAACAATACAAAACATATAATTAACCATTATTAATCAAACTAGTTTTAGACAGAATTTATTTTCCCTTATCGTCTAAAGAACAAATTAAAATATCATAATAATTAAATCAGTTTCTGCACTCATATAATTGTTACAATAATTTATAACAACGAACATATACGTGTATCATTCCAAAGATAAAAAAAGGTACATAAACATTAAGTATAGTGACACACAACTCATTTCGACTATCATCAGTTATTACTATAGTAAGGTGATCAACTACAACATAGGCCTTCGTGCTACAGAATAATACTATTATACAGTAGGGCCTAGGCCTAGTATTATAAAATGTGAATAATTACGGTATCATTAGACGTTATTATTAACCACAAAAATAAATAAATATACCTATAATGAAAAATACGTAGGCCTAAGCATGCATTACATTATGTATGCCTATGATATGCCTACACACAGACGGAAAATAAAAAAAAAACGGCCAGATTATTACGCATCCTGCCTGCAACAACCACACTACCAACAGAACTCTATTGGCGCGCCATACTTTCTATTGTTAAAAATCCGGCGGCCGAAATGATCATTTAGGAGGATTTTGGAAGTGGTCTAAACCATACCACCACACGCTAAATAGAAATTGTAAGTGATGGTTAGGCTGTAGAAACCGTATATCCTACTATTTAGGCCTAGTAATAAGCCTAGTAGTAGAGTACTAGGGCCTAGGCCTACCATAGGACAAGCTACTACTAGGCCTAGGCCTACCCTAGCCCCTTAGTACTTTATTTTAGACTAGCCTAGGCTTACCTACTGTACACACCAGGCATGCTCAAAGGCTAGTCCTAGCCTCTTCCGGAGGCCAAGAAACTAGCCTACTACTAGGCCGAGGCTAGGCCTAACTAGGCTGGCAGATTTTCACACAATTTTACAAAGAATTGCCTAGCTAGGCCGCCTGCCTCACAAAAGTATACAATCATACATTCATCCGATTCAACCATTGAGTGATTTGGATCTAGGCCTAGGCCTACCTGGATGTAGAGACGTGAAACTATCAGTTTTTGGTAGACGGGTTCTGAATTGGTTATTGTAATGAACTTGTCAATTGTATCTGTAGTCCCGGCATAACTAAAGAGTGCCACTAAAAAAAATATTTAATTTTTGATTTATAAATATTAAAAATGAGGGTTTAAAATATTAGGATAAGCCCCGGCCACTGGAGATTTTCACTGAAGTGTGAGTAGAGCTGATGACGTAGACTCGGTATAACAATCACAGCCATCATGTTTATGTATAAATACAAACATCGTATAGCGTGACATATGAAAGAGGTTCAGTTATGAAGTACTGATCTAAAAAAGGAAGCAAAGAAATGGAGCAGCTTTATCAATTTGAGCCACTACTAGAAAGCGAATTTAGAAAACAAAGAATTGAAGACCAGGCAATTATTAGAAAACAATCGATTGGGCACTATACTAAATACTCTCCTAGGCCCGACGGACTAGGCCTAAGCAGAGTAACAGCACGAAAACTCGTCAGAGTATGATGGTTAATATTACTAGTAATAATATACATTGTTTACGTCTAAATTAGCTTGCAGTCTGTATTAAAGCTTATTACAATGTAACGTGCGAAGTTTGATGTATTGTACACGGCCTATACCTTCAATGATGATAGTAAACAAAACCAATTCGGCGATCATCATCACGTCACATTGTAAATTGCCTGGTTGTTTTTCATGATATTGTTATCGAATACAATCAAAAGCTAAATTTATTATTTAGGTTGTTATTATGTTGATAACAAACTGTGTGATACTCACTTTAATACAGGCCTCGAAATTGGTACTGGAGAACACACGATCGAATCGGAAGGCAAATAAAAGCGCACAGGGAGTCCCCGAATTGGTTCGCATCTTATTTACTGAACAACGAAGCGGGCCACGAAGCAGGATTGACTTTTGTGTTTAGGTATAATTTTACTGTATTATTAATAAAAGTAATTTAACTTGGTACAGTAATATGTGTTTCAATCATTAAACAATTATTAAATCACTGTGTTAACTTTTCAAATGTATGTTTTGAGCTAGAAATATTTGTACTCTTTTCACTCGACTCGCGTCATTTTTGAATGACCAACACTTGAAGACGATCGACGTTGTACTGTGCATGAGGCCTATGTCAAAAACATGCAATTCCCTCCTAAAACTAGCATTATCACGAAAATCAAAACAGCATCTAGGCTTAACCCTATATTTTATTGTCCAATAAATCATCACAACAAAACAAATAAAATTTTAATTTCATTAAAACACATATATCAACGTCGTCACAAAACTTCCAAACACTGTTAAATCGGGTCGAGCTGGCCCCGCGAAGAACATCTGAAGAAAGACCACTTTGTAGAGAACAAGTGATTCCCCCCTTTGAAGCAAGACGTAAACAACCTCATCCATCATAATACAGCATAAAATATGCATGTATATATTTTTTGTAAGATACTGTAATTAAACATATAGTAATCACTAAAGTCAAAACAAATTTGTGCCGAGTGGTCCCGATGGACCCAAGAACATTCTAGCAAAAAGTAAACAACCACATCGGTCATGAAAATAGCATATACAGTATATATGCATGTATTTTGTGTAAGATATTTAATCATCATGGAATAAAGTAAGTCAAAACAAATCTATGTTTAAATGTTTTATTCAAACACATTTGCTGTTGTAGCGAGTAGGGGCTCTGTGGTGTGGGGTGGATGCAGAAAATAGGGCCCATCTAGCCAAGGCCACTCGCATTCGTGCTCTTACATAGTATTCATAATGTGATGTGACGCTAATTTCGAGGGCTGCTATTATGTTTTGAATGTTTGTTTAATAATTACTCTCCGGATTTCCAGCCTATGATTACCCTAGTCCTTAACTGAGAATATCGTAAACCTACTACCTAGGTTTGTGTTGCTCCTTTTTTCTCACTTTTCCAAACTTCCATGGAAATCTACCTAGTGATAATATGCATGCGTAGTGCTTCCATCAAGCAAGCTCATCTCTTTGGCATAGCTCCTGTTCTCTCATGCTTCTCCAAATCAGAAGTAGGCTCGACCTTCAAATTGTCCCACAATATGTTTTTGCATCTTGCTCTATGTTTCCTACAGTACATAGGCCTTATCATAGTTATTATTAACGGGGCATTTTACCGGGGCTACAAAATATTTCCCAGCGGTAAGTGGCAGGGACTTTAAGCCAGGGATGTACAGTATTGTATGTTAAAACGATGCCCCGCATTGCTGGGAGGGGGACGAGACTTTCACATACACTTAAACCGTTCCGTAAATTACATCCCTGGCTAAGTCCCAGCTCGGCCCGAGACCGGGATGGGGCGGGGATCTACAATTTATAAGTGCATAAAGATAATCCACTATTCAGTTTGGGAAAGCGCTCCAACAATTTATTGTTCTTAAACGAAAATGCATTTTGTCGAGACTTTTCAATTTCAAATGAACTTTTCTGAATTTTCCATTGGTGACATCTAGTGGATGTAGCTTCATTTCTCTTTGAAAAATCGCTAAACTGAATCTTATCAAAACCTCAAGTATACATACCTTCAAGATCAAGATCATTAATGTGTAGGCTTAGGCCTATCTATAGCTATGATTCTGTGCACCTATTCCAGTAAAGTAAGGCCTACTCGGGGAATATCCTCTGCAAAAAATTGAGTACATTGAAACACTGTAGCTGTACTACTCCCAATTTTATTTATTTTTTTTTTTATTTATTTTTTTTTTTTATAGAAAAAATCTCGAAATACCATCTTTAAAAACATATTCATAAGAAGTTAACTAGATTTGTCTCTGGGCTAAAAGCCTCTTGACACCAAATTTAAAGACGCTAGTAGTTTCACGTTTATAGTAAGACAGCAAGAGAATTCCACAACTTCACCGCAGAGCATTCTGACCATATTTTTACCCACTTCCACGTCATATTTATATGTTTAGAGGTTGTTGATACCCCTGCCACCATCTCGGGATACAACATCGCTCCTTTTAGTTATAAGATTTTGGACTGGTGCAGGAGCATGACTGTGAGAGCATCTATGGGTAAATATTAGAAGAAAGAGAGACCACCGAGATTTAAGATTCAGCCAGATTATGCCTCTAATAGCATTATAGATGCTCTGTGATCAAGTCTGTTAATGAATCTACAGTAATTCCCTTGTTAAAAACCATGTGAACTGGATGAAGATGACAAGCATACGTTCTGGACCAGACTATTAAATTCTTCGCACCTATATTCCTAGCAATTTTCTGCGGAAATATTACCGTACCTAATTTGAGATGTATCGTCCATGCAATTAAAATACCTTAAACATATATGGCACCTATTTTCCAAGCAATTGCCTGCACAATTCGGTAAGATATCCTTTTCACAAATAAATACTTGTGTTACATTACTACCTGAAAATTGTTATTATTTTTATTTTATTGTTTTATTGTTGTTATTTGGTTTTCCTTTGTATACTCACTTGACTGTAGCGTCATGGTAGGCCTATGTTAATAACATACTTGTGTTACCTATACTACTGTACTGGCAAATGGTTATTATTTTTATTCTATTGTTTTATTGTTGTTATTATTTTCCTTTGCATACTCATCTGACTGTAGCGTCATGGTAGGCCTATGTTTAATAATCGCTGAATCCAACTCGGGTATATATACCTTTTATAACATTAGGCGGAACCTTTGACCACCAATATAGTGATTTCGAAAAAAAAAAAATATATATATTTTTTGTACCAGTTCACAGCCTCTACCACAAAAAATGGAATTTTGCAATAAAATTTTTTTAATTTATTTTATTTTTATTAATGCCTCCGCTCCGCTGAAATCTAACAAAATAAGGACGGCCCTATACATTTCTATATCATTATTTTATTTTCTCCTATTTTTTTTCTACTGTACATGCATGGCAAAATCATTGTTTTTGCTAAATTAAATAAGAAAACACAATTTTATATATTTTTGTTTTTGTCCCTCCTGTCTTTCACATTTAATTATATTTTTCCTGTGCTAATTACACATTGGCATCCAACTTCCTTGAGACAATTGATATTTAGTAGTAAAAACATACAAATTATAGTAAAAACATACAAATGAATTTGCAGGACATCAGTGGCATAACGCCTGTGAGCTCTCGGGGCTCGGCCCTGGGCTCCTCCTACTACTACCTAGCAATTTACTACAGAGCCTTAATAGTGGTTTATTTTTTCTGGGGCCCAGTCACAGTCCAAATGGGCCCCAGACAGTGCAGTGTGGCACCTCTACCCAGCACTCTACAGTACTACAATATACTCTTCGACAATATACGGTAACTTGTTTTTTAATTTTCAAATTACCAAATAGACCAAATTCCCACAAACACACTCTTTGGCAGATTGGAAGTAGGGGGGGAGGGAGCCCTCCTATCAAACAACCAGCCTTTTACTATTGAGCTTTGACCATTTACCATATATACTGTACTGTAATGCCTGTGTTCCAATTCCAAGTCCAAATGAGCCCATGTGAGGCCAGAGGGCTCCCTTTTACATTGTAATACAATGTTTTTGACAATATGGTACATATTTATTTTAATTTTCAACAATGATGGGGCT